TCAGCGCTGGTGGTTGCAGTTGTTGGGTTGGTTCTGTTTCCATCCATGTCTTCTACTGGAACCAATGGGTGTTGCCTTTACTTTCTTGATTGAGGGTGTGTGGACTGGTGGTATTAGAAGAATAACCTCTGGATAAAGGTTTACTCGTGCTGTGACAGTCATGGTCTTTCCTTGGCTGAAGTGGACCACAGGGTCAGTTTGAGATGTTAAGTTACAATCAAGTACATTTGTATAATTACATTCATGTGTGCATTTGGGAATTGCTTGGAAGTGTGTTCCAGCTCCTTCAGGATGGGACCATCACTCTCGCTTTACACATGAGAGGGGCAGTGTAGGGGTCTCCTGGGTCCTGACCTTTGAGGGGGCTCAGAGCTTGGCCCTCCCCGCTGCAAACTTTTCCCAGGTTCCTTTGCCATACTTTACAGTGCATTGCAGGATAGAGGGAAGTGGCCAAGAAGTGCCAGTTTAAGGAGCCTGTGTGGGCTCCTTGAGGGCTCCTTGAGGGTCTGTTGGGATGGGCCCAGCGTGGTAGCCTAGCAGGCAAAGTCCTCGCTTTGAATGCGCCAGCGTCCCATGTGGGCACCAGTTTTAATACCAGTGGCACTGCTTCTCATCCAGCTCCTTGCTTGTGGCCTGGGAAAGCAGTAGAAGATGTCCCAAAGCCTTGGGACCCTGCACCTACCTGCATGGGAGAGCTGGAAGAGGCTCCTGACTCCTGGCTTCGGATTGGCTCAGCTTGGGCTGTTGCAGCCGCATGCAGAATGAATCATCGGATTAAAGATATTCCTCTTTGTCTCTCCTCCTCTCTGTGTATCTGATTTTCCAATAAAAATTAAAATAAATCTTAAAAGTCTGTAGGGAAAGTTGGCAGCACTAACCAAGGGTAAGACGGTTAAGAGGTGTTGAGATACATGGTCCCCGGCCACACGGCTGTAATCCCATTAAAGAAATGGGTCCTAAATGATTGATACAGCATGACAGGATGGGGAGACCGATCTGGAGGGCTGGCTTTCCCACCCCGCTTACCGAGAACAAGTGGCAGCAGATGCACAAGCCGGAGTCTGGCTGCCCACCCACTGGCGTGCCTGCTCTAGCGTCGGGTTCCCATGCACTTGGACACTAGAGGGCGCAGGGCAGAAGAGGTGGGATGAGAGGGGGGAGTGGACGGAGCGTTTCCAGAGCTCCCCACCCTTCCTGAGCCACAGAGCACCCGGGCTTCCCAAACTCAGTCCCAAGGATGCAATGCCGGGGAGTCTGGATCCTGGCGCCTTGTGTCTGAGCCCCTGGCAAACAGTGCATCTGTGATCCAAGGCGCTCCACGAGGCTGCACGGGCCCGGACAAGCCTCCTGCGCTCACCATTCAGGCCAGCTCCAGCCAGGGGTCACGCTCCAGCTGGCCGCAGCGAGGTCCGACAAGTACCCCCCTGCGACCCGCCTCACCGGGCTATTCTTCCATTCGGGAAACTGGGAAGCCAGGCCAGTCCCTGTGCCTCAAACGGCACTCCCCGCCCCGCTTCTCAGAGCTTTGCGTTGAGTTTTCTTAGAGTGCCTAAGGAATGAAGCGCATAGATAAACATGATTGGAAAGAGGCAGCCAGCTCCTGTGATTTGGGGGTTAAGTGTGTTTCAAAATCGTCGCAGAACCGAGTGTCCTCAAAGAATGCTCACCCGCCCTTTGTTCACGTGTTGTGCGTGGGAGAGACCAAGGCAGCTTGCCACCCAGCTCCGCCCTGGAGTGATGCAACACTGGAGCAGGCTGTGTTCCCGAGAAGGGGGCTGCCACCCACCAGTCAGCGCTGGGCTCACAGGCGCATTGGCTCAACTGCCTGGCCACAGGAGGGCGCTCCCTCCCAGGTGCACAGCGCAGATCCCTGCCAGGCAGGGGCAGTGGATTGGTTTGAAGTAGGGAAGTTACCGGGATGAGGACTTGATTGGGATGAGGTGGGATAGGTGGCGAGTTGGGGAGCGGGTTGAAGAGGGAGATTTGGCGAGGGACACGCTGGGAATGGGAAGGAGCAGGGAAGGAAGTCGGCAGAGCCTTGGGTGGGAGTGGAGGGACAGCTCAGCCTGGCTGTAAGAGGAAGGAGGCTGTGGCCGCCTCACGTTCTATGAGCATTCACCATGTGCAAGGAGCAGGCATTTCACAGGTATTGATCCATTTAAATCTCAGACACGGCAAGAGGGAAACTGAGACATGGAGGCTACTTCTGTCAGAGGTCCTTCGGACTCCATCACCTGTCCTCCTTACACTCGGCAGACCCCAGAGAGCCAGGTGCGTGTGGGGGAAGGGGCAGAGGTTTGAGCTGGCAGTTGGGGGTGCTCTCTCAGCACCTCGAGGGTAAGGGCATCAGTGGGCTCCATGTCCCAGCCTGGAGAGGGAGCTGGCAACCATTAAAAGTACTAGAACATCTGGGAAAATAGCAAAACATCTGTAAAACATTATACTGGCTGAGTTCGCTCGTCTAGTCATTCAACAGAGGCAAACAGGAAGCTGGCGCCCAAGCTGAGGCTTGGCTGAGACGCACAGCGTAGGTTCATCCAAAGGGTGCTGGGATCCCTGGAACACGGCAGCCATCACCTGGAGAAACAGGCACGGGGACAGCCAAGGCCAGCCTCACGACAGGGGCAGGGGACAGCTATCCCCAGAAACCCTGCAAAACTCAAACAGGAGCAGCCTGGGAGGGCCAGCAGCAGCTTTGGAAAGCTGTGAGGCCAGGTGATGGGGAGGGCCTATCTCGAGGCAGAGGAGGGACTGTTGAGCAAGGGTCACCATGCAGTTCATGAAGGGGGCGTGACCTAAGGGACACACCTATCTGATCTAACATGACCATCATCCATTGGTAGGGTATCCAGGGTCAGGAGAAAGGAGCCTTGATTGCAGAAACCTCTGTGAGAATTCAGATCTAGGGGTCCTCGATTAGGTGCCCTCCTCTTTCTATGGCTCTGACACCAAGGTGAGAACGTAGGCAAGCGTGACCCATAGGATTCATCTGAAACAAATGCAATGTATGGAAAGCATGCTTGACCAGAAACCAGGAAGGCTGGATGGACCCAGGGTGTCCAGACAGCAAACCACAGCAGGAGGGGGTCCAGGCAGCCTAGGTTCAGGCCTGGGGTCTGCACTTCAGGTCCTGATGACAGCAACCTCACAGTGCTGAGCAGGGCAAAGCCAGCCACATTTCTGGAGGCGTTTTTTTCTTTTTTTCCAGTCACAAACCCCATCTTACAAACCTGACAGTTATCACCTGCCAATTTCTGGACCGCAGTGCACACACATCACCTTTCTTCTTACGTAGTGGGAGACATTCTTTACAAAACATCAAGGGGAACCACAGGGGACAGAGCAACGTGTCTGGCAAGACAGCGAACACACAAGAACGTGCTGAGCAAATGTTAGTGCCTTCTGCAGGGGTTTCTTTGTGTGTGTGTTGAAGCAGAGTTGCAGAGAGATCTTGCATCATCTGGTTCATTCCCCAGATGTTTGTAACGGCGAGCCAAGCTGAAACCAGCAGCCAGGACTCATGAACTTCTTCCAGGTCTCCCACGTGGACGCACAAGTCCAAGCATGTGGGCTGTCTCCCTTTGCTTTGCCAGGTGCAGTGGCAGGGAGCTGGATCAGACGTGGGGTGGCCAGGAATTGAACCACCATCTATGTGGGATGCTGGTGCAGCAGGTGGAAGTTTAAAATGCATCGCCACAGTGCTGGCTCCTCACTTGTGTTTTCTAAAGATTTATGTATGTATGTATGTATGTATGTATTGGAGGAGTTCACACACACATGCGCACACACACACACACACACACACACACACACACACACACACACACACATCTTCCATCCATTGGTTTACTCCCCCCAAATGCTGGCAACAGCCAGCGTGAAGTCCGGCTGAAATCAGGAGCCTAGAACTCCAGTTCTCCATGTGAGTGGCAGGTACCCATCTTCCGCTGCCTTTCCAGGCGCAGTCACAGAGAGCTGGATTGGAAGCAGAGCAGCTGGGACTCTAACCAGCACAGTCTGATATGGGCCAGTGGTTCACGGGGTGGCTGGATGCATTGTGTCACGGCATGGGCCTCTTGTGTGCATGTGTGAGCGCAATGAGGTTCAGAAACACAGAGCACTAGGCAGCAGCCTGGACTGTGAGCCCCCCAGTGCCAGCTGAGGAACTAGGACACATCACCTGTACATGTGGGGTTCTGCTGCTTCAGCGGGGGGTGGGGGGGGAGAGACACAGGTGCCCACTGCTGCCTTTAGGGTCTACCACTCTGACTTCAGTGAGGGTCAGATTCACCTGCAGGGCTTGCTCCCTGGAGAGTCCCACTCAGTAGGACCAGGGTGGGCCCTGGGAACCAGCATTATTCTACCCCATTCCTGATGATGGTGATGTTGATGTAACCCAGAGAGTTACAGGCATCTACTGAGCCGCTCCCCTTGCCTGGTGGAGTCCTCAGACAGCCAGCGGCCCAAGGAACAGCCTCTATTCCCCCTGGGGCCTTGTGGACCCCCAGGCGTAGCGTGTGACCCCTCAGCCAGCACTCTCTGTCAGTTCTTTTATTATTTATTCACTTGATGGGTAAGGGAAATCTGGTCCAAAGGACACAATGCTTAGCTTTTGCTTCCCTTCCATGTGGCACAGTAGAATTCTGGGCTCTGGGAAGCCCTCCCACCACTCCTCCCACCACGTCTGCCCACCAGGGACAGCACAGTCACTGCATGAAAAACACCCACCCTGAGATGAGACAGTTAGGCTTGCCGCAGGGAGACACAGCTGCTGCTCGCACAGGCCAGGCACCGCTCACACCAGCCACGCCGCAAGGCAGGCCTCCTGAATGTCGGTGGACCACACGATGTACAGACATGACAAATATATAAATTAATGAGATCTACACGTATACAAAAGACTTCAAAGGGGACGTATTGCCATTCCAGGTCATGCCAGGCGTCTGTCCGAGCCAGGGGAAGGGAACTCCGATGTCTCCTCTTATGCAGGGGGGGGAAAGTCACACACAGACCCTGCTCCGGGCACGGCCGCCCTGGAATCCCCGAGTGCTGTCGGGGCCCCTGGGCAGCCTCAGCACTCCCACGGGCAGGCCATCTGCAGTCTGCACCTTCCCAGACAGCAGGGGACTGGCTCCAGGGCTCTTCTCCTGGGTCCCCATCTCAGCTTGGCGCCGCCGCCGCCGTACCCAGGGACTGCCGGATGGGGTGATGCTACTGTCGGAGGAGTAATCCACCCCCGTGCGTGGAGCTTCAGGACCAGTGCTGCAGCCTGGCCGGCCCTCCTCGGCCAGCGGAGACTTCCTGGACACACCCTTGCGCTGTGCCGAGGGGCTGCTCCAAGGGCTGGAGCTTGGAGAAGCATTGGGGCTCAGGAAGAGATTCTGCGGGCCGGAAGGGCTGAGCCTGCTCGTGGCCGCATGCCGCCGGCCAGCCATGGGGGACGTGGGGTTGCTCTCTGGGTCAGAGGAGCTGTTGGCGGAAGACTCGTCCCCTGCGTACTGCAGCTCTTCTACCCGTTTGTTGAGGGACCTGTTCATTGGGGCGCCGGCGGGGTGCTCCCTGTCCTGGGGCTTCTCCTTGGCAGGTTTCTTTTTCGGGGGCTTCATCCCAATCAGGAGGGCCTTCATGTGGTCTTTGCCCTGAGACTCGGTAGCCATGAAGCCGTGGGCTCTGACGGCCGCCTCCACCTCCTCGAACTCCACAATGGCACACTCCTGGGTGCCCACCTGGCTGTAGCGGCTGCTGAGCCTACGGATGTCGGGGGGCAGCTCCCGGCCGGGCTTCAGGATTCGCACGGAGGAGATGACCCCAAAGGTCCCAAAGAGTTGGAGCAGGTGCTCCATGACCTTCTCCTGCACCCTGCCATTCTGAGGGTTGGGCGCTAGGTGGAGATCGTAGACCAGGAGCATCTTGCTGGGAAGATTCTCGTTGGGGAACAGTGGCACCGGGGTGGTCCGCCTCACCTTCCGCTGATCCTCATTCAGCTCCAGGATCCCCGAGAACTTCAAGGCGTGAGCTGTGGTTCTCCAGTCTCGAGTAAGATGCTTCACCTGAAGGACAGAAGCAAGCACGTCTGAGATGGTGCCCAGAGCCTCATCATCTGCATGGCGTAGCCACAGCCCCTTCCGTCTCCTTAGCCTGCACTACTGGTGCCTGGAACCACAGGGACACAAAGAGCAGAGCTTCCCCCAGGTCAAGAGCCAGGCCACTGCAATCCACAGCAGCACATCCAACACAGCTCTCCCTGGCAGCCAGGAGACTGGATTTAGCACAAATTCAGCGGTTAGACCTGCAGCCTCTGGGGATGCATGTAGCCCACGTCAGATTTCCTTGACTCAAGTCTCGATTCCAGCTCCCTGTTAATGCACACCCCAGGAGGAAGCAGGTGATGCCTCAATGCCTGCCACTTATTTGGGAGACCTGGACTGAGTCCCAGCTCCCAGCTCTGGTGTGACCCGGCCCCGGCTGCCGTGGGATGGGAGCCTGTTCTCCCGTTCTTTGCCTTTCTAACAGATAAGAAACAAACAAGCCCTGCAGGTTTGGGAAGAGGCCAATGCACTAACAAAGCCACTGCCCGCCTCAAACTGGCAGTAAGACCTGCTAGGTTGTTCAGGAGAGCCAGGATGCTGACCACAGGGTGGCCCAGGCTTCAGGGAGGCAGGGGGGAGCTCTAGGTGGGGAAACACGGTGCTGCCACATCCGGAAGTAGCAGAAGACACCCAGAAGGACCCAGTGATGTCAGCGTGGAAGGGAAAGGGACACAGCTGTCCCCTGGCTACTTGCAGGTGGGATGGCTCTTCACCCTGGCTGCCTCATGAGGGGAACCCTCCACGTGCCTGCCCCCTCACTGTTCTCTGCACATGACATGCCCTTGCCTGCTTCTGCAACTCCTGCTTACCCTCCTGTGCCCGTGTCACCACCTCAGGGAAGCCCTCTCAGCTCTCAGGCAGGGGCCATATGAACCAACTGCCCCAACAGGACTTAGGTCTCTTAAGCTGCAAGACTCACCATCCACAGTCCCCTGCCCCCAATCTCTCTGCTATATCTGACTGTGGTTCTGTTGATGGGTAGGCAGTGCCACACTCATGAGGGACACCCTGTGCCAGATGCAGCATCCAGCTAACAGAACCAGTGCCTTTGTGATGGAGAGAGGGGGCAGGTGCACCCTTCGTAGGTGTCTGTAGTAACACAGTGCATTGGCAATGCCACTGGGACCCACTGGGTCCTATTTTGCGCCACGTTCACATGGTCATTTCCACGCCCCAGTGGATGCCCGGCCCTAAAGGACTCACTTGTTTTGGCTGTGCTGCCAGACCTTGGATCAGCAGGGAGTACATAGCCCAGCTGGCACCCAGGTAAGGGGCTGGCAGCAATCATAGTAGACAGGACTCCAAGAAGACTCAGCCCTGCTTCTGGGGTGAGGGAGGGGCTCATTCCTTCCTCACAGCTTTTTCATCTAACGAAAAGTGTACATTTCGTATGATTCCTGGCCTCCCAGGTGTCTCTCTCTCTCAAGACCTCAAGTCCCCTGCCTTGGCATTGCATCCTCTCAAGCACCCTACACCTGGCAAAGCAGCTGGCCCCTATGAGTGGCAGCCAACAGCGGCACCTGGGCCTCGTCCCCCATGCACATCCTCACCAACCACCCACATCCCTTCATGCTTCCAGGCCCCAACCCTCCCCGCTGGGCCGGAGCGCACCTTCTTGAGTGACGTGAGCAGCTTGACGCTCACATAGCCCAGGCGGTTCCGGCGCACGTGCTTCAGCAGGAAGGCGTCCCTCTCCAGGTTCTCATCGGACAGGTAGAACTCAATCTGCTCCACCAGCTTCCTCACCAGCTCTGCATCCGGCGGCGTCCACTCCCCCTCCGGGCCCTCGTGCTCTTTCTCGTCCCCGCTTATGGTGCCACTGAGAGAGGAGGCGAGAGCATCGTGCTGCAGCTGTATCTCTCCCCCGGCCCCACTGAGGTCCTGCCACCAAGGCCCCAAGGCACAGGTGTCCCTGACCATCAGGTAGCTAAGCAGTCAGGTGTGGGAAACCAGGAAGGTCCCAAGCTCTGGCCCAATGCAGTCATAGGATGCTTTAAAAAAGCTCTCCACAGGAACCATCGTCTTCACGGCTCCCAGCCCGATTCCCAGCAGGTGGAGCAGCATCTTGGAACAAGATTCCTTGCAGGAAACCTGACTTCTCAGCTGGCTGGGAACAAAGCCTGTCCCTTGGTAGCTGTGAGTCTGGATTGGAGGTGGTCCCAGTGCTGCCAGCTCTGAGAGCTCCAACTCAGGTCACGCCCTTGTTCTTTTTTTTTCCACCCCTTGTTCTAATGTTGGTGCTGCCACTCAGCCAAGGGGGCATTCAGGACCACCATGCTTTGGCCACTTTCTTGCAAACCAACAACTCTGACAGGGTGGGAATCGTGGCAGTCCCTGGCCTAGGATACAACCAAATCAATGGGTGAATGTGTGGAAATTTCCAGCAGAATGCCTGGTGTGATTTGAGAGCTGAGGCATTAGCAGATAAATGCCTGTGCTTACTCCTAAGAGGCAGGAATAGAGCTTGAAGTCAAACCTTCTGTCCCCAAGGCTAGCGCACAGAATCACCTTGAGGGTGATTCGGATGAATCAGAGACACAAAGGCCTTCCCAAGTCCTTCCTTGTATCACCTGGGAGCAGCAGCAGCTCACAGGGACAGACAGCCTTGCTCTCCCTGACAACGGAGGATGTGGCACAGCCAGGAGACTGCTCTGTGATAAAGCTATGGACATTCAGGGCATTGGCGATTATTCACTTTGCAGTGGGTGCGTTTTTAGAAGTAAAGATGAGTTTCCTGTTTAACCAACACACCAAGTTAAATATTACATCAGGATTATATGTTGTTTCGGAGTGCAGCCAGTTAAGCCACCTCTTGCAGTGCCAGCATTTCATATGGGCCCTGGTTGAAGTCCTGGCTTCTCCACCTCAGATCCAGCTCCCTGCTAATGCTACTGAAAAAGCAGCACAAGCGTCCTAGGTTCTTAGGCCCCTGCACCCATGCAGGGGACTTGGATGAAGGTCCTGGCTCTTGGCTTCAGCCAGGCCCAGGCCTGGCTGCTGTGACCATTTGGGGTCACAGTGACCATTTAAATAGATAAAATTCATCTTTTTTTTTTTTAAGATGATATGTTATTCAGTAGAGGCTGTTGGTGGCAGCCTGATGTGCAGTTTCATAACCATGAGGCCTGGAGCCCCACTAGCTTGCTCTGACCAAGAGATAACAACCTGGTGCGGCACACTCCTAGCTCTCATGTCCACCCATGCAGCCAGGGCTGGGAAAGCTCACCAAAAAAAGGCTCAGAATGTTCACAGCAGCCAATGGGTGAAGAGCCCAAGATCCATGCTGAGCAAGAACAGGGAAATGACAGTCTGAACGTGCACGGGAGGGGATTCAGGCACAGGATGCAACATGCACGGATCTGAGGGCCTGTACTGGGGCACGTAAGCTGAATAGCACAGCACTGTGTTACATAATCACAGTCGTACAACAGCATCAGCATGATGGTGGGGAGTGACGAGGGAAATGACCTGCACAGACGTGGAGTTTGGGAAGAAGGAAAAGCAGCACAAATGTTATACCAACTAGGAGTGTGTCACTACCACACTAAGGGGGTGGAGGGGGTGATACTATGGTACTAACCAGGACAGTAGTAAGGCTACAGTATCAACTAGGAAGGTAATGTTAGAGTATTAACTGGAGGAGTAACACCGCAGTCCTAACAAGGAGGGTAATGTCACAGTACTGCAATACTGACTAGCCGAGTAACACTGGAGCAATTAGGAGGAGACTGATGCTACAGCACTAACGAGGGTATTACTACAGTAATGAGTAGTATTAATGCTGCAGTGCTAACCAACACACCAACTGCAGCAATGATGAGAGCAATGCTGCAGCAGGAACGAGGAGCGCCAACCAGTGCGCCAACTCACAAACAAGGGCCTCAAACAAGCCAAAGGATACGCAAAGGGGACACGGATGATGCAAACATCCTCCCCTGCACCAGGGAAAGTCGACACTTCAGTAGCTGGGATCAACTGCACAGCGGCAGAACAAGGCAAGCACACGTGCAGCAGGATTCAAGCCCAGCTGACAGCAATGGGAATGAGATGCAGCAAGGGAGAGTGGGCTGTGACGTCACCTGCGAGGAGTTCCGGGAGGAGGGAGGAGGGCAGATGGGTGATGGCCATGGCAGAGCTGGACAGACCAAAGGGACCCACCGACCGACCGACCGGTGGGTTCTACCTCTGACTGAGCGCAGCTGACACCAGTGTGAGCACAGGTCAAACGTGGTGGGGCTCAGGCTGTTCCACCCCTTCATTTGTCCTCTCTATAGCAAAGCACCTCTGAGCACCTCCCCAAGCCCTGTGCTCTGCCTCCCTCAACATCCACGACAGGCCCAGTCATCCACCCAGTGTCCCTGCCCCGGCAGGGTCAACACGGCTGCCTGCCTTTGTCTCGGAGCTCTTCCTAGACTCCCAGGACTCGCTCATTCTTTTCCCTCTTCCTTTTCAAATAAGTTCAAGAAAATTCATTTGAATGAGACACAGAGGAAGAAAGACAGCACTAGCTTCATCCACTGGCTCGCGTCCTCTTGGGATGGGCCAGGCACCTGTCGCTCAGTGCAGCTCTCCCGTGTGGCTGGCAGGTACCCAACCACTTGCTGTCACCTGCTGTCTCCCAGGGAGCTGGGGTCAGGAGCCAGAGGCCACGAGTGATGTGGCAGTCTTAAGAGCTAGGTCAAGTGCCAGTCCTCTTCTCTCCACTGACTAACTGCCCCAACAGCCTGCTCTCTCCCTCCCCAACTCAGACACGGGAATACTGCAAACATCTGTGCTCAATTCTGCTGCCTGTTAACCCCGGTAAACTCAAACATCTGTGCCCAACTCTGCTGCCCGTTAACCCTGGCAAACTCATCTCAGCCACATCTCCCCTGGTGCCCACCTTTCTCTTCCCCCAAGCTCCAGCCTTCATTTCTTAACTGCTTGCCAGACATTCCCTCAATGGGAATCTGATGTCACTTCAAATGTGCCACACCCTCAGTTGCACCTGTCACTTCCTGCGCAGCGCCACAGCACACAAGACTGAAACCTGGGCCTGCCACGAGGCATTTCTTCTGCAATGCCAACCTCGCTTTCACCACCTCACAGGAAACGACACATACAAACAATGTGCTCAGCACTAGCTAACCCTTCTTCTCCTTTCCAACTCATCTTACCAGATGCATGTTTATTCCATTTTGCGGTGCCTCTTAATGTTTTATTCTGTTCTGTAACCAATGCTGCACATCTGATTGATAGGTATCAATGACTGAAAGTCAACTCATTGTGTTTTATTGCTATGCGAACATTGTACCCTGAGGGCAAAAGCATTCCCTAGGATTCTAAGAGGGCACTTCAAAAAGTTTGCAGAAGATAAAATGAACAGCTTGTTTTGGCCCAAACGGTGTTCAAATTCATGTTTCCTTTTTTTCACAATACGCATTTGTCATAAGCTTTTGGGAGAACCATCATTTGCATAAACTTCAAAAATTTTTGCACCAAAATAAATCCTGAGCTTAGCTTCATTTTTTTTATGAACAATGTGAGGCTCACATGTATTTCTTTTCTTAGAAGTGTATTATTTCATGGGCCACCTTTCTGGGTCCTCTCTGTTCCGCTTCTCACTCAACTGATCTGTTGATGCTTTGCATTTATGAGTCAAGGGAATTTACTGGTGCTATCTCCCAACTTGTCCCAGTGAATTTTATTTTGTATTTATTTTTTAAACATTATAATTATTGGGGCCCAGCATGGTAGCCTAGTGACTGAAGTCCTCACCTTGAAAGCTCCAGCATCCCATATGGACACTGGTTCTAATCCTGGTGGCCCCACTTCCCATCCAGCTCCCTGCTTGTGGCCTGAGAAAGCAGTCAATGACGGCCCAAAGCCTTAGGACCCTGCATCCACATGGGAGACTCGGAAGAGGCTCCAGGCTCCTGGCTTCAGATCCACTCAGCTCCAGCCATCACAGCCACTTGGGGAGTGAATCACCGAACGGAAGATCTTCCTCTCTGTCTCTCCTCTCTGTATATCTGCCTTTCCAATAAAAACACCATAAATTTTTAAAAAGATTATTATTATTATTTTAAAGATGTATTTATTTTTTATTGAAAAGTTATACTTACAGAGAGAAGGAGAGACAGAAGGAAACATCTTCCATCCACTGGCTCATTCCCCAAGTGACCACAATGGCTGGAGCTGAGTTGATCCAAGGCCAGGAGCCCGGAGCTTCTTCCAGGTCTCCAACACACAGGTGCAGGGTCCCAAGGCTTTGGACCATCCTCAACTACTTTTCCAGGCCACAAGTAGGGAACTGGATGGGAAGTGGAACTGCTGGGACATGAACCAACACCTATATGGAATCTCGGCATGTGCAAAGCAAGGACTTTAGCCACTAGGCTACCACTCCGGGTCCCCAGTGAATTTTAAATCTCAATAGGTTTTGATTCTCAGATGGTTCCCTTTTCCAAGCACCCTGTCCTCGCTCTCCCTCTCCTTGAATCCCTGACTTCTACCTGTCTGTCACTCAAGGCAAATGAAAACTTTTTTTTTTCCCAAAAACATCGTATATTGGGAGTGGTGGTCTGTTGTCTGATTCTAGCTTAAACAAGCTAGAGATGGAAGCCAAGGGCAGGAATCAGGGAGGACACGGTGTCTGTCTCAGAGCAGAACACTGGGCTCCACAAGTCAATGTGGAAATAGCTACCGTAATCTCACGAGAAGATTGGGGGGAAAAGTGCCTTTTCAGCATAAAATCTCTAGAGCTATTTTTCTTGTACCATCACCAGCTGATCTGAAGGGGCTGCCTGAGTGCTAACCAAAGGTACGCTACACAAGGAGGGGCACACACTAACACGGCAGAGCCACAAGACCCTCACTGTGCTGGGGACCCATCAGCCACCCCTGCAAGGGTCTAGCACGACGTCCGGCTGTCAGGGTCAGAGAGCAGTGGACAGGAACAGGAGCATCTGCCACACAGCACAGAACAGACAGTGGTCCAGAAATGGTTTCCGAGGGGCCGCCCAAGTGCAACCGCAATGCAAACATTTGACGGCATGCTCCAAAGGTAACAGGTCCTTTTGGGGACAGGCTGAAAATGAAAGCAGGTTCCTGACGGGAGAGAAGGGGTTCAGGAAACCATCATATCTCAGAGGCCACTTAGCACAGGTCGGGTACTGCCTCCCTCCGCCCAGGCTCTCACAATGAAGAACCCTCCTCTCTGCCCCAACACCTCTTGTGGGTGTGCCTGGCCGATTCTCCTTGTGCCATGGAGCACAGATGAGGGATAGAAGAACCTGCTTCCATCCCCCACAAACACAAGGCCGGAACTCACAATGGGGACTCCCACTGCCAGCAGCCAGCGGCCAGCAGCCAGCAGCCAGCAGCCATCGGCCAGCAGCCAGCAGCCAGCAGCCAGGGCAGGCATGGAGCAGGCCCGTCCCTGAAATGCCTCAGAAGGGAGGAAATTGAGATTACTCGTTGCACTGACACCAAGGAAGCAGGTGTGCTCCTGGTCAGCGTTAAGGTCCTGAATCATCTGGACACACGGCAAGGCAAAGAAAACAAGTCCACGTGGTAAAGATCTTAGGAACAAAGCTTTTCTATGCTTAAAAAAAAATGAGCAAAAATACTGCAGTTTTCTTAAATATGAACTGGAATGATCAATTTCACCTTAAAAAAAAAAACATACATTTTAGCCCTGTCCTTTCAAAGGCCCTAAAAGCCGCTGTATTCAGTAGCACTCTGAATTCTTTATTAAAAAATAAAAAAGATTGATTTGTTTGAAAGGAAGAGTTACAGAGAGAGACGGAGATAGGGCTGCCAAGAACCAAGAGCCTCCTTTGGGTCTCCCATATGGGTGCAGGGCCCCAAGGTCTTGGGCCATCCTCCACTGCTTTCCTAAGTCATTACATTAGCAAGGAGCTGGATTGGAAGTGGAGCAGCTGGGGCTTGAACTGGCATTCACACAGGATGCCAGCACTGGCAGGTGGCAGTTTAACTTTGCCACAAACCTGGCTCCATCACTCTGAATTTTCAATGTTTGCTTCTCAATACTTTCTCACATGCATTTGAGAAATCAGGGACCCTGCAGAAACATCTGGGTTCTGTGACTGCAGCAGGAATTCTGGGAGTAGGAACCTCAAAGATTTTACTTTTCCACAAAGATGTACTGACGCCATCTTAGTGGGGATCCCTTGGCCGTACTGTAGAGGCCAAGGCATCAGAGATAAGGATTGCCATGATGATGGGAAGAGATAAAATGGAAAACCACACTAACGGGGCTTTCTGAAAACTTGCCTTTCAGGGGTCCTTCAATCCTGATGATCTAATGATAGGCAGAGTTCTGAATGTCAAATGAAAAAAGGCACAAAGAATGAAAGAACTAGCAAACCACAGCAGCTCAATCCCCAAGAAGTAACTGACTCAGGCAAGCTCAGCCAAGCAGAACTGCAGGGACTGGGCACACCAAGTGACTCACTTCTATAATGACCACCTCTGATGCTCTGACGACCCAACACATTAGTTTAGTTTAGTAAAATGCACTTTTCCATTTGCCCCATCTCAATTGAAACTTTTTACATGCGCTCCCTGAGGGGAAGAAACATCCACAATCGGGCAATTTTCGGGGTAGGGAGAACTCAGAGAAATTCCTGAAACTAATCTACCAAGACTAGACTCTGAAGACACAGAAAGTCTGAACAGACCAACAGCAAGTGAGGAGAGGGGGTTAGTCACCGGAGCCCCCTCCATCAACAAGCCCAGGATCAGAGGACTGGGTCACTGCTGGGTGAGAACCAAGCCAATCCCTTCCAGGACCGACACACAGAGCTCAAGAACAGAGAGGTGCTTCCAGATTCATCTCACTGCTGTGATATCTAAGCCAAAGGAGGACCCTGTGAGAAACTCACAGATCACTGTCCCTTGTGAACACACAGAGGACAATTCAGAACATCTGTGCACAAATGGAATTACTGTTCATTTTACTTGGAAGCCAGAGAGCATTCTCCCATCTGCTGGCTCAACCCCCAAATGCCTACAATGGCCAGGACTGGGCCAACCTCAAGTCAGGAGTCTGGAACTCAGCTAATGGGTTCAACAGACACAGATGAGCAAGTGCGATTCATCAGAGAAGAGCAGTGAAAGACAGCAAGATCAGACAGGACTTGGCAATCATGAAGGAAAGGAAGTAATCTTTGCAATACAGACATCTCTCCACCGAAATGGTCAAATCCAACACCAACAACATTGGGTGCATCCTAAATGTAGAGTTCAGACATGTGTGTACCACGAAGTATTCTCATCAAGATTTTATCAACTTCCCATCCAGCGCCCTGTTTGTCACCTCAAGAGGCAGCAGAAGATCGCCCAAAGCCTAGGGACTCTGCACCCATGGTGAGGGACCCAGAGGAAGCTTCTGGCTCCTGGCATTGGATCGGCTCAGCTCTGGCCATTGTGGCCACTTGGGGAATGAACCAACAGATGGAAGATCTTTGTCTCTCCTTTCCAACTTTGAATCTGGTCTGCCTTTCCAATAAAAATAAATTAATTAAAAAAAAAATGTTAGGCCTGGTTCCTACCCCCAGTTTATGGGAAGTACTTGGAGCAAAAATGGTTAAAATAGACAGCAAAAACTAAAAGCAAGCGTGCAGTAAAAGTCTGACCTCTGATAGGCAAAGCATTAAACAGCAGCAGGGTGGGGGTGGGGTGCAGAAAGAGAGTGTTCTAGACAAAAATGTCTGAGTGACACACATGTAAACGCCTGACCTTGGACTGCGAGAGGAAAAGGCAGCAGCTCCAAACACAAATAGGGACTTGGCTAGGTGATTCTGAGGGAACCGCTGCCAAGTATCATTATTATCTTTTTCTAGTTGCAATAACGGGATTGCTGTTTCACAGGGAACATCATTCTGAAGAATGACAAAGTATCCAGGTGTTAGTCCTACGAGCAAGAGGCTTGCAGATGATGTGGGATGAACCACACACCTATACAAGGATGCTTTAAAGACCCACGCATGGGGCAGGCATTGTGGCACACCTGTTATGCAACTCCATGGGACAGCTACATCCCACGTTGCAGTGCCAGATGGAGTCCTCCTTGCTCTGCTTTTAACCCAGCTTTCCAGGAGCGCAACGGGAGACAGTGGATGACACCTCCAGTGACCAGGCTGCCACCCAGTGCCAGGTCCCTGGGTTTAGCCTGCCTGCTGTAGGTATTTGGGGGCAATGAACAACAGATGGAAAAATCTCTCTTGTCCTCTGCAACTCTGCCTTTCGAATAAATAAATATTTTCAAAAAATGCATAGATTTCAATTTTTAAAAAAGATTTATTTTTATTATTTTTTTATTGGAAAGGCGGATATACAGAGAGGAGGAAAGACAGAGAGGAAGATCTTCCATCCAATGACTCACTCCCCAAGTGAGCGCAAAGGCCGATACTATGCCGAACTGAAGCCAGGAGCCTCTTCCGGGTCTCCCACGCGGGTGCAGGGTCCCAAAGCTTTGGGCCGTCCTCGACTGCTTTCCTGGGCCACAGGCAGGGAGCTGGATGGGAAGCGGGGCTGCCGGGATTAGAGCCGGCGCCCATATGGGATCCCGGGCGTGCAAGGCGAGGACCTTAACCACTGGGCCACCGCGCCGGGCCCAGATTTCAATTTTTAAAAAATTTAAATAAACTTATCTTTCCATTTGCTTTCTAAATAAGCTCTTCAAAGTTCCCTTACATACCCAACAGACAATAAGGCAAAAAATTAATAATTTCTAAACCCGGAGGGTGGGGATGTGAACATTCACGATGCCTTTGCTCACATTTTTTTTCACTTGAGAATTTTTGTTTAAAAGGTGAAGATAGAAGGAAAGTTATGAGACCAGCACAGTGACATAGTAGGCTAATCTCTTGCTTGTTAATGCCACCATCCCATAAGGGCACCTGTTTGTGTCCCAGCTGCTCCACTTCTGACCCAGCTCCCTGCTAATCCACCTGGAAAAGCGATGTAAGATGGCTCAGGTCCTTTGGTTCCTGCATCAAGCTGGGAGGTCAAAAGAAGAAGCTCCTGGCTCCCAGCTTTGGATCAGTTCAGCTCTGGCCATCGGGGAGTGAACCAATGGATGGAAGATTCTGGCCATCGAGGAGTGAACCAACGGATGAAAGATCTCTCTGATTCTCCTTCTCTCTCCACAAAGTCTGCCTTTCAAAAAATAAAAATAAATAAATCTTTTAAAAAATTACAAAAAAAGAAAGTCACTTTAAAAAAGTATGTGAAATATAGGGAGAAGGCTAATGAACATTCTGGAAACCTTGTGTTCATTTTCCTATGGGCCCCCTAGAGTTAGCCAGGAGCTGGCATTGGGGGCAGGGAGAAGACAGAGCCGCTGCTCCAAGCTCCTCGTTCACTGCCTGGCACAGGGCAGTGACAAATCCATGCATCTATTCCACAGATGTTTCTAGAACAGCCCTTGACAACTGGGCGCTGTGCTGGGTGCTTAGAGGCAACTAGCAGGAGCGCCACTTGAGCGCAGCAGCCAGAGCTCACGTTCCTGGGAGGCAAACAAAACTGCAAAAGCACAGTTGTGAAAAGGGCAGGCCTCAGAGGGGGAGCCGTGGAGAACCCCAGAGAGGAGACCACCCAGGCCGCTGGGCAGGCAGCCTGCCACACCACCGGAAGCCAACAGGCCAAAGGAACCCAAGCAGTGCCAGCTCTCCGTGCTTGTTCAGGACGCAGGAGAGGCTGCTGCTCAGTCTGGGCTGCCCCCTCCGCCCTGGAGAGCCACCTGCTCAGCCAGCCTCAGCTCCACCTGGGGGTGAACTACTGGAAGCAGACAGCAGCAGGTGCTTCAGACCCAACACTCCTAAGACTCCCCAAGTCTCTAGGAGCTGGAAATGGGGACAGAAACGTGGTGGTAGGGAAGGATGCGGGGGGGACCGGAGCTGGTGAAAGGTCAGTCACACAGGAACCAGCTTGTCCTGGACCTCCACACGAGGTCTGCCCAGGCTCCAGGTCCCTTCTCAGACAGGACAGGCAGTTACTCAGCATTCACAGGCCAATGTACTCGGGGTTGTGTGCAGCACATCTGAAATGACCCGGTTGCTGGCCGCCTTCTTAGGACAGGCAGCCGTCAGCGGCTGTGACTCCTCCTTCTTATCACATACACCCGGTGCCTGGCACCGGGCTGAGTGCACAAGGGGCTGATTCTGTGTCTACTGCGGCTATGATGCGATGCGCTGACCCTCCAGGACCGACTGTCTGCAACTTTCCTGGTCCAAGCTGCTGGGTCTCACTCTCCCCCCGACAGCTGTCTTTACTGCTGAGGTTTCCATTCCCAAGCCAAGGGGGCTTATCTCTACAACCCCAGCAGATGGGAGCATCCAAAGGCAGCGCACAGAGCCCTAACACACGTGCCCGCTGACCATTCCCAGGTCCCTAATGCCCTCTTCTCTCTAGGGATGCTCTGCAGGGCCATTCCCCTCCACCCCCAGTCGCAGGACACAGCCACTCTCCGCAAAGGCCCACGCTACCGCCGCCCGTTTGGCCCAGGCCAGGCCGAGGGCCCAGGCAAGTGCCCTCCCCAGCACCCGGCCCCAGGATCCAGACAAGCCCACCCCAAGACATGAACCCAAAAATCTGTGGCCACGACCAGGGGCGACGCGAGCTCCGCTTCGGGTGGGCCGCACGAAAATGGGATTGCCCCCGGAACCGGGAAGAAAGGGGACCAGCGGGCCCCAAACCCCAGGGCGACCCCTCCTCCAGAGCCCCCACAAGCACAGTCCTCCGCCCCAGCAGCGCAGGCTGCGAAGTCGGGGTCTGGGACCGGGTTGGGGAGGGGACGTGGGTTCGGACCTGGCTCAGCCCAGCAACGAGGACCGGGTCTCCCAGGACGCCTCAGCAGAGGGGCGCGCGCAGGCCCGGGCTTCCGACCCCACCACCTACCTGCGCCCGCGGCCCGCCTCGTCCTCGCCTCCGCTGCCCCAGCCGGGGCTCAGGAACCGCGCGGGGCTCCCCACGCGCCGCTCCCCGTCCCGCAGCCGCTCCCCGTCCGCCGTCCGCTCCTCATCCTCGGCCTCTTGGATGGCAACGCGGATCTGTACCGGCGGCCCGGGCCAGGGCGCGGCCTCCCCGCCCGGCTCGGCCATGGCTCCCGGGGCCGAACTGCAGCGGGCGGGGGCGGCAGGACCGCGGCGGGGAGCCGGCGGGGTGCGGAGGAGGCGGGGTGAAGGAGGCGGGACCATCGGCGGCCCGCCCCGCGCCCCCGCCCCGAGTGCGCTCGGAGGGCCGGCTGCAGCCCCCGAGGCCCACCCCGAGTGCCTCCCCAACCCCCAATGCCTCCCCAACCCCCGCCCCACCAAGCAGCAGGCGGATCCCCGAGTTCCTCGCCTTCTGCCAGTCGCGGGATTCAGAGCTCCTAGACACCCCCCTCCCCCCGAAGGGGTTTCCGGACTGCACCTGCACGGAGTGTTACCCTAGCTGGGAACTTGGCCAGGGCCAACCCTGTAGTTCTGAGTGGGATCCGCGGCTCCGTGCATTCTGCTAAACCTGGAAAGTTGCAGGTGAGAGCACCGGCCAGCCGTGAGCTGGAAGACTCCAAGGATCACAAGAGCCTTACAGAGCAAGGCCGTGCACACAGCATACCCGCAGACCCAAGTGGAGCAGACAGCCTGCACGCAACGTGCCATCAGACAGGCATGGAACAGGTCAGACAGATCCTGAATCACCAGGGGTTCTACCTTCACTATCACCCTTTGGCCCTTAGCTTCAAATTGAGTTCCATTTCTGTCTCCTATCTCGGGGGACAGGCATGGAGAGGACTAAGCCTTGACTCTGTCCTTGGGAAGCTTTCAGCATGATTTACCCTAATAGTCTCTGTGCGGGGATCCGAAGGAATAGGACTCCAGAGCAATTGGAAATTTTGAGATTGGAAAGTGATCGGAAATGTGAGTGTCCTATGAGAGCTCTGATGGGCAAGTATGCCTTGTGTCTGCCAGATTTCTCTCTCACTACAAGTCACCCTAGAGTGAAAGCAAGAGAGAAGGAACCCCGGTTCTGTTGGCGCCCCAGAATAGCTCACAGCCCTGTGTCTGTCCAAGAGGCCACAGCTTCCCTGGAAAAAAAAAACAAAAAACCTGAATTTATGTGCTCCTAGACTACAGAATACTCATCTATGTTGTTTCTGAATTTATTTCTGACTCCCATTAAATAAATGTTTGGATCTAAAAAAGGGTATCAGATACCATCCAGCTCTGAGCGCTCTACCCCTATAGGCGGTGGTACCCTAAGAATTCAAAACCTTGCTAGTACGGCCTCTACAAAGTCATAGGGAAAATATGGGTGTCTTTCTGGGATATTGATTTAATTGAAATGTTTGAGAGAAGATTGAAAGAGTGTATGTTAAAAATAACCAAAAACAGGGCCCGGCATGGTAACCTAGCAGCTAAAGTCCTTGCCTTGATGTGCCAGGATCCCATGATGGGCACCAGTTCTAACTCTAGCACCCTGCTTCCCATCCAGCTCCCTGCTTGTGGCCTGGGAAAGCAGTAGAGAACAGCCCAAAGCCTTGGGACCCTGCATCTGCATGGGAAACCTGGAAGAGGCTCCAGGCTCCTGGGTTCAGATCTGCTCAGCTCCAGCCGTGGTAGCCACTTGGGGAGTGAATCTATGGACAGAAGATCTTCCTCTCTGTCTCTCCTCTTCTCTGTGTATCTGACTTTCCAATAAGAATAAAATAAATCTTAAAAAAAAAAAACCAGAAACAATGTGAAATTGAATAAAAAATTGACATAGAAAGAAGAGAGCTGGATAGGAAGTGGAGCAGCTGGGACACGAACCAGCACCCATATGGCATCCTGGTGCATATAATTTGATGATTTAGCCACTAGGCTACCGTGCCAGGTCCAAGGCAAAAAAATTTTTAAGACAGCCTCACAGGAGTCTTGTGGATAGTAGCTGAAGTTGGGGGTGGATGTATCCAGGGCACTCCAGGGACCAAGGCCAACCTATCTCATCTCACTGTGGTGCCCAAGTCCCAGCCCTATCTACAGGAGAGGCCTTGCCTTCTGTGTGCGTGTGTGTGTGTGTGTGTGTTAGAACACTTTCATCTGAGAACACACGGGTTTGAGTTGCTAGTGCTTTCCTTACAGCCCTCCCAATGCGTTACGGAGAAGGCTCTTTCTCCTCGGCCTTCCTGGAACCTGTGATGGGAGAAGTTGCTGGGAGGTGTAAGAGCAGCAGGCCAGATCCTGAGAGTGGTCACCTCAAGAGGTCTGGAACCGTGACCTTACCCTGAGATTGGTACCTTTCCTTTCCCTGGAATCTGCAGGACTTTTTCAAAGGAGCGTGCAATGGACGAAAACTTCTTTGGTCACAGCTCCCGAAGATCGTTGGAAGTATTTTTGAGTGTACCTGCCTCTCAAGTGTGCAGGGCCTCTGAGGAAGGAGGCCCAAGGAACTGTGTCTTCAACAGTGTCCTAAGTGATTTCCATCAAGCTCAGTCTGGTGACCACTGGCCCAAGATCTGTTAGAATGATGCACCAGCACTTCCTATGAACCTTAATCAGACCAAGCTCTGGGATGCAAGAGAAGCAGGACTCCAGCCCCTCTTCAGGAGTTCTGATCCTACTGAAGACCAAAGACACGAATCTCAGGAGGAACACCCAGGGGACCCCTACGAGGTCACTCTGAACCAAGTACCAGGAGACTGACCCAGACATCTGGGCTGGAGGAATGTCACTTCAGGGCTGTTGGAGCCAGGCACGGCGAGCCTGACCTCATGGACAAAGCCACCACTGTCTGACAGGCAGGCCAGCGACCTGCAGGTCAGACTTGCGTTTGATGTGTTTGCTTGGCTGCATGCCAAGGCCCTACACAGCCCTTAGCATCTGTGGTGAACATGTGTGACTCCCAACGGAAGTAGAGAGCCGTGTACTGGAATGGAAACAACCTTTTCCTTGTGGCCCAGTGGGAGCAATGATTAGAAGGAATGTGATGGTGGGTAGAATGCTATCACCTGTGACTGCACCCTTAGGAGGAGGTCCTCTCTGGGTGTCACTGAGCAATGTCACACAGACTTAGGAACCACCCACCCCTACCTCATGCTCCTTGTCAGCCTCAGAAGGACTCTGAGTTGCCCAACGGCCATAGCGCTGTCAGGGGAAGGGCATTGTCTATCAGAGGAAAAATCCCCTGCAGGCGTTGAGAGGGGGGACAGGTTAGACTTGGCTGGGAACACTGTGGGGACCCCTTGGGGAGTGCCTCCTCCATGCCTAGCAGTGCTAGGGGTTAACGGTGGATATTGGTGCCTTGCCTGGGTGAGAGGACAGAGGGAAAGAGCCTGGCACGTGTGGGTGACAAGATCAGAAAGCACCCCTTCACCTTGTCTGGCATCTGTTTTGCACCAGGAACTTTGTGCAGAATCAGGGTGACTGTGTTGGAAACCCTGGCTAAATGTCTGGGGAAATGAGCAGCCCTGTGGGTATAGGCTCAAAGTAGGATCAGAGTGTTGAGAAGCAAGCAGCAAGGCCAGGGCATGTGCAAAGGGAGGGGGCAGGGCCACTGGGGCTGGTCTGGGTTGGTCTGCTGCCTCCTGCTCTGGCACACCTCCCACTTCCACTCAGGTCACTCTTATCCTCTCTGATCATTTCTGTCCACTGCTAGACACCAACATTTGCCCTCTGCACATGCTAGAAATGTCTGCCCTCCTTACTACCCAGTCAACTCCCACTGATCATCTCTGGTGTTCAGCCACGTGGTCGCTAGGGTGGGCCTTTCTGGATGCAGAGGGTTTAGTTCAGGGCCCTCGATACAGGCTGCAAGCTCAGAGGGGGAGAAAGTGATCGAGTCTGGCTTTTCATCGTGCTCCTCCCATTGAGGCTTGGGTGGGCCATCTGTCTCCTGGGTTACCCACATCACCAGTCAGGGCCATGTTGGCATGTATCCAGGGACACTTGCTCTCTTCCTTGACCCCAGGTGCCTGACATTGGCCCTGAAGACACAGAGTCCCTGTTTTCCTTCTGTTGCTCTGTGCTGGTTCATGCAGAAGTCTTTGTTGACGTAAACCCTCCTTTGCGCTTGGTTCTTCCTCCCTTAAGCTATTCATGATATTCCTAAATACAGAAAGCTTGAACAATAAACACCCTTAAACACATTGCTGGATCCTAAAATGGTTGAATATTTATCGCTTCTAAATACTTCCACTGATACCTTCTTGAAATGAGGACATCTGCCAACATCGCTGCAATACCATGGATGCATCCGCTACATGAAAGCTTTTCATGCTTAAAAAGCAAAATCCAGAATCCAGCTGAGAGTCGTGCATCATGCTTGCTCTTATGCCTTTGTAGTTTGCTTTCATCTAAAATCGCTGCCCCATTTTTAGATGCTGCTGTCTTTACGCTTGACCACGTTGGCTCTCTGGAGCATTCTTATTTTTAAGAAACAAGGCTTTGGAAAATAAAACCCAGTGGACTCCCCCCAAACTTTCCCTGAGGCAAGAAGGATACTGGCATAAGTCACAGGAAGAGACTTCTGGGTTAGTAGTGGTGCCAGTCCTGGATATTCCACTTCTGACCCAGCTGATGCACTGGGAAAGCAGTGGAAGGAGTCCCAAGTGTTTGGATCCTTGCCACCTATGTGGGAGACCAGAGGCAGTCCCAACCTTTCTGCACCTCCTTACTAATAGATAGATAGATAGATAGATAGATAGATAGATAGATAGATAGATAGATATAGGGAAAATGAGTTGTCTCTGAAAAGCCAGGGTTAGGATGAGATTGGAAAGCTTGATATGTGCTGTGACTTTGGATGGCTTGAGTTCCAGGTTCTGGAAACTTCTAGTCTAGGGCCTTGAGGGCAAAATTGTAAGGATCTATCAAATGCAGTTCTGGGCTGAATGGAACCTTGAAGGTCAGATACCTAGGAAGACACTGCATCCCAATGGATGCTACCTGCTTCTGATCTCCCTGCCTGAGAAAAGCTTGCCCAGGATAGCAACCTGCGGGACTGGTAGCACCCCAGGACTGCGTAGTCCTATACAGCAGCCCTGTGCCCAGAGCTGGCATAGTGTGTATAACCTGTACCCGAGCCACAGTGGCTAAGGTGTCTCTGGGACAATGGGGATCAGTGTACACGGAGTGACTTGGGG